TGTGCTGTATGTGTGTGCGTGTGTGTGCTGTATGTGTGTGCTGTATGTGTGAAGGTGTTGTATGTGTGTGCTGTGCTGTGTGTGTGCTGTATGTGTATGTGTGCTGTATGTGTGTGAGGGTGCTGTATGTGTGTGTGTGCTGTGTGTGTGTGGGTGCTGTATGTGTATGTGTGTGTGCTGTGTGTGTGTGGGTGCTGGATGTGTGTGTGTGTGTGTGTGGGTGCTGTGTGTCTGTGTATGGGTGCTGTATGTGTGTGCTGTGTGTCTGTGCTGTGTGGGGGGTGAAGGTGGGGGAACATTACTTAATATCCACCCACCCTTCTTACCTTATGTAGGGAGGGGGTATCCTTGTTCCTGCTGCTTTCCCTGGTGGTCCAGTGGAGAGTGAACTCTAGCCCCTGTGGGGATAGAGTTCACTCTCGCGAGATCTGAGCATTGCCGCGGCAACGCTCAGATCTTGCGAGAGGAACCCGGTCGGAGCTGCTGGTTGAGCTCCCTGCCTCCCTCCATGCTGCAGTGGGGAGGGAGGATGAGAGCCGAGCCGGCGCACGGATAGTGCCGGCTCTGCATGAGCCGACAGGGGAGATCCTGAGATCTCCTCTGACGGTCTCACTCCATAGGCATGCCGCGGGATTAGGGTGTGCCCAGGCACGCCTATGGTCACAGGGTAGGAGGCTGGCAAACAGGCTCCTCCAAAAGCCAGTGGCGAGGTTACTTTCGCTACACATGGTACACTTGGGAACTGTCCCCAAAGCAGGACACCAGGGAGCAAAGGTGGGACAGCAGGACAGGACCAGAAAATCAGGGATGTACTAAAGAAATCGCAATGTTTGGGAGGCATGTATGCAGAGATTTGAGGTCAAGTCAGAACAGAATGAAAAATTAGTCCTCAGGTTGAATATTATATAGCATAACACATTCAAGTAGAAATTGAAATAACTTGCTACAAAACCATGTAAATAATAATGGGTTTAAGTAATATCCACCAGACCACTGCATATACATCAAACCGTATGAAGAGAAGAAAATAATACTTATAAAATGGGTCAATGATCTCATGATCAGTGCCAGTAATGAAACTTTACTCAAGGATGAAAGGGGAATGATTACAGCTAAATTTAAAATTAAACACCTAGAAAGAATCAAATATTTCCTAGGTTTCAACAAAGCGATTGTTTAATAAAGATAAATCAACAGAGATACATATAAAAGATTCTGGAGAAATCCGGTGTGACAAATTGTAAACACAGATCAACACCATGTGCACAATATTTCCAAGATTTTACTATTAACATGACGTAAAGTCATGATTTTATTAAAGGACCACTATAGTGCCAGGAAAACAAGTATCTATAGTGCCCTGAGGGTTCCCCCACCCTTAGGGTCCCCCTCCCGCCGGGCTCTACGGGGTGGAAGGGGTTAAACTTACCTCTTTCTCCAGCGACGGGCGTGGAACTCTCCTCCTCCTCTCCTCCTCCATAGCGACGTCATCGGCTGAATGCGCATGCGCAGCAGGAGCCGCGCGCGCATTCAGCCAGTCCATAGGAAATAATTCTCAATGAAAATCACAGTGAGAAGCGCGGAAGCGCTTCTAGCGGCTGTCAATGAGACAGCCACTAGAGGCTGGATTAACCCTGTTATAAACATAGCAGTTTCTCTGGAACTGCTATATTTATAGAAGAAAGGGTTAATCCTAGCTGGACCAGGCACCCAGACCACTTCATTAAGCTGAAGTGGTCTGGGTGCATATAGTGGTCCTTTAATGACACAGAGGCGAGTATTATGCTTTCTGTTTCCTTTAATTTTTCTCAGCAGCGAAAGAGATATGTATACAAAAGAGAAAATAACATAACATTGTATAGCAACAGTGCTACCAATCAGCATCAAGTACTTAGTATATAAGGTGTAGCACTCCATAACTCTTCCTCTTTCTGTAGTGATCCAAAGACCAGTAAAAATCGACAAACAGTAACACTGAACTGGAAACTGGGTAGTAGACGTATGTCCATCCTCTGTGGGGCAACGGTTTAACCCTTTCTCAAAACCTCTGGAAATTGATAGGTGTATTCAAGCTAAAAAGAAGAGAAAAATGGTAATAACGCAATTCGTCACTTGATTTCAGCATGTATATGAAAAACGCTGTGACATATCATCAAGAAAAATTCATTTAAATTATTCATGACATAATATACCATAACAATCTAATGTAAGTACTTCAACGTCTTTAGAGACTACTTGTCATGAACCTACCATGCGCACTTTTAAACATTATCCCAATCCATATAGGTTAACGGTACAAAAGGCCTTGCCGGATTCAAATAAATGTGAAAGAAAATTCAACACCATCTTTACAGTAGCTGATATAGGATCCACTGACCGTTCCAAGCACCAATCAGACCATGTTTTCCATGCTGCATGATAGAACGCTGTCTTCCTGGTGCCCAAGCGTTTGCCAGGAGTTGGGCAGTTGTTTGTGAAACCTTTGTGATTTCCCAGAATCCCCAGAAATGAGCCATGTCATGAGACGTAGAAATCCCTGGTCTATCAGTCCGTGACTCTCCCTGTCTGGATTGGTCAGAAGGAAGGAATTGTCCGGTAGCAATCGTGGATAGTCTATCGCCATTTCCCATAGGTGTGGGAACCAAGGTTGTGACCTCCAGCATGGAGTTATCAGGACTATCGTGCCTTTGCATTGTCGTAGGTACACCAGAGTCCGAACAATCAAGTTGAACAGAGGGAAGGCATATGAGCGGCCTGTGGTCCGATCCTGGAGGAACGCATCCGTTGCTATGGCTTCCGGAGCTGGACGCCAGCTGAAGAACTGGGGTAGTTGAGTGTTCAGTCTGGATGCAAAGAGATCCACATGTCCCCAGAGTTGTGTGATCCTGTTGAATATAGCAGATTGAAGTCTCCAATCTCCCATGTCCCTCAGGTAACGGGAGTTCCAGTCTGCGGTGTAGTTCTCTAGACCCAGTATGTGTTCCGCGGTCACGGATATGTTGTGTTGTAGACAATAGTGACAGAAATCTCTAGCCAATACTGCTAAGATTTGTGATTTGGTGCCCCCCAGGTGGTTGATATAGTGAATGGCTGAAACGTTGTCCAGTTTGAGGAGGATCAAGCAGGAGATGTCCTTGGCGGAGAGACTGTGAATGGCAAACAAGGTTGCCAGCAGTTCCAGGGAGTTGATATGCAGAAAGGATTCGTCTGAGGACCATCTGCCTCCGGTGGATATGGGACCGCAATGCGCGATCCAGCCATTTAAGCTCACGTCCGATTCAATCACGAGATCTGGGGTGGATCTGAATACCGCTTGCCCGTTCTATGCTTCCATGTGGGCTAGCCACCAGGTCAATTCTTCCCTGGACTCCTCGTCCAGCGAAATGTGTGTCTCATATGAGTGGCCACTTCTTAAGCAGGATGCTTTCAATCGTTGTAGAGCCCGGTAGTGAAGTGGACCCGGGGAAATCGCCTCGATGGAGGTGGCCAACAAGCTGATGACCCTTGCTAATTATTGCAGTGATATGTTTGGACGGTTCATCAACCATTTTATTTCCTTTTTGATATTTGATATCTTCTATAAATAGGACATGTTGGATGGAGTCAACTAGAAATCCCAGGAAATTCATCTGTTGGGAAGGTTGGAGAACTGATTTTTCCCAGTTCACCAGGAAACTGAGGTTTTGAAGGAGATGTATGGTCCACGACAAATGGACAGTCAGGTGTTCTCGTGTTTGTGAAAGTATGAGGATGTTGCCTAAATACATAATGAGCCGAATTCCATGTAGTCTTAGGAAGGCTACCACTGGTTTCAGGACTTTCATGAAGCACCAGGGAGCTGAGGACAGGCCAAAGGGGAAGCATGTGAAACACCACTTCTTCGTTCCCCATCGGAATTGTAGTAGATTCCTGTGGTCCTCTGCCACGGTGACTGTCAGGTAAGCATCCTTCAGGTCGATTTTGACCATCCAATCCATTGGTAGAAGTAGGTCTCGGAGGCAGTTGATGCCTTCCATCTTGATATGCCGGTACTGAACAAAGGCATTCAAGTCGCAGGTTTATGACCGGTCGGACGCCTCCGCCCTTTTTTGGTACCAAAAACAGGTTGCTCACAAGACCTGGTATATCTCGAGGGACTTCCTCGATAGTATTCTTGGCCCTCAATTCCCTGATCTCCTTGGAGATTAGGTTGAGATGGGATTTGGGCATTCTGAGCAGAGGGGAGGGGTGTCCTGTATGGGTAGGGCGGTTAATTCAAAGTGATACCCCTGAATTGTGTGTAATACCCATGTATCGGATGTGATCATAGTCCAGGCTTGGTAAAACAGGGCCAGTCTTCCCCCCACATTTATATGGGAAAAATGGGGATAAATAGTACTTACCATAAGAACTTTTTCCTGGGGTCGTTCCACGACCGCCGCAGGCATTCCAAGGTCGTCCTCTGGTAGGGAAAAAGGGGATATATGTGCGCTCTTGCACCTGTCTTTGCGGATTGAAGGAGCCTTTGCCCAGTCTGGAAAAACCCCGGGGATTGTGGCTGGATAGACAGCTCCTACCTCTACCGGCCCCATCGAAAACCTTTTGGTGGAAAACCCTCTTAATTGAGCCTTATCTAGCGCTGTGAAAGTCTTCACATATGTGCTAAGGTCCTTCACACAGGACTCGCCAAATAGTAAACCCTTAGTGGAAGCTCCCGGTTCCGTGGTAGCCATACTAGCCAATTTTGGCTAGATTTTTAGCAGAATCGCTTTCCTGCGTTCTGTGGACATTGCCATATTGGCATTTCCAACCATGCACACTAAGCGCTGTAGCCAACCAAAGGCCACTTCAAAGTCTAATTGGGCCTCACCCGATTGTGCTGTCTCAAGCAGTTCGTATTGCATGGTGATCGGGCCCAGGGTGTCCAAGAACTTGTCCTGACAATTAGGTAATGAATAGTCAAGGTCCTTTTTCGGCTTCCAGCCGGTTGTAGACAAAAATTGGACAATTTGTGGGTCCACTTAGGGTTTTTTTGCCACCATGTTGGCCCTTAGTTTATTACGACACTCTTGGGACAGGGATTTATGCACTCTCAGCGCCAGGTACTGCGCAATATGCTCCGGTGGTTCCCATTCTGCGGAGCGAGGGTGGCGCAGATTATCCGGATCGAACAAAAGGGTCGCTTTTGTGTCCTGGACTTTGCTTGATCCTGTTTCATCCGACGGTGCAGTTGTTAGGACTGCTTTAGCCATTGCGGATGGGAATTGCTTCCCTGGAAGGTCTTCGCCTTCAGAGATCTTTTCCTCATACTGATCCGAGTATGGGTCATCTGATCCCTCCTCCTCCCTTTTGTCCGAATCGGACATCACATCTTGGGCCCTTGTCCGTTTCCAATGTCTGGCCGCTTTTGCCCAGCCAGTGGCTCCAATGCGCGGTTGTTGTGCGCCATCATAGACAGCCTGAGGCGTGTCTGTCAAACCAGGGATCTCCTGGGTGTGATGAGGGTCATTTGCGTGTTTGCGCTTGCTCAGGGCTTTATGGCCCGGCAATACTATTTCAGAAATGGCAGAAGTCTGCAAGGGGGATTAAGGGGCAGGGTGTGCCGGCATCAGAGCATGTGTTATAGAATGGGTAATGGTGGGTAATGGTTATGGCCTTGCTTAGGGAGCTAGACATAGTAGCATCTAACAGGCTTTGAAACTCCTCTGAACCCATGAGATTGGCTTCATTAATAGGGTCAGAGATAGTGGCCCCAATAGTGGTAGATGGTGGCCAGAGGGGCTATCGCCAGCAGACTGCATGTTGAATAAAGTCTAACAGTAGCAACAAGGTGAAAAAGGATAAAGTGAGGTAAGGATTGCTTAAAGGACCACTATAGTGCCAGGAAAACATACTCGTTTTCCTGGCACTATAGTGCCCTGAGGGTGCCCCCACCCTCAGGGACCACCTCCCGCCGGGCTCTGGAGAGAGGAAAGGGGTTAAACTTACCTTTTTTCCAGCGCCGGGCGGGGAGCTCTCCTCCTCCTCTCCGCCTCCAATCCTCCTCTTCGGCTAAATGCCCATGCGCGGCAGGAGCTGCGCGCGCATTCAGCCGGTCTCATTGGAAAGCATTTACAATGCTTTCCTATGGACGCTTGCGTCTTCTCACTGTGATTTTCACAGTGAGAAGCACGCAAACGCCTCTAGCGGCTGTCAATGAGACAGCCACTAGAGGCTTTGGAGGCTGGATTAACCCTATTATAAACATAGCATAACATGTTTATAAAAAAAAGGGTTAATCCTAGAGGGACCTGGCACCCAGACTACTTCATTAAGCTGAAGAGGTCTGGGTGCCTAGAGTGGTCCTTTAGTCCAAGCACACTAAGTGAAAGGAGTCAAAAATGAGCAAGAAAATATCACAATATAGGCAGGTTAAACAGTATCAATGACCGGGAGTATGCCAGATGGAGAGGAGCCATGTACCGCTAAAAGGACCCACGCCGAGATTACGCTACTCTGGGTAAAAAAGATGGCCGCCACCACGAGAGGTGATGACGGAAACCAAGAAAATGGCCGCCGCGAGTGCTCTGCACATGCGTGGTGATCGTGAACCGAACGGCATGTAACAAAGGTGGGAGTGCCGTGAATGGCACTAAATGCAAAGAAACATGCTGAAAAAGGCCACGGGCGGGTCACGGCAGTACTGACAGGGAATGGTGGAGAGGGTGAGGGGAAAAAATGCTCGCTGCCCTCCCACGTCCAGACAAAGATTGCCGAGAGTGAGGCAGTGGAAAACACAGCTTCCCAAGGGAAAGGAGGGAATGAAAAAACCCACCCAGATGTTAAAGAGCAAACTAGCTGGCACACTCCACAGGTCTTAGAAAGTAAAACACATTCACGCCAAGATAGCAATGAAGTTTAACATAAATTGCCTCACAGTAAAAAATACAATGTGTACTGGAGAAAAGTAATTAATGTACTTAGTTGGTCTGAGGGAGCAGCCAGGGCTGGACTGGGGATTCGAAGCAGCCCTGGAAAAAAATCTACGCCATAAGTCATTTGCTATGTAGTGTGTGTTATATATATATATATATAAACACACACATATATACATATATACACACAAACACCTATCTATCTATCTATATATATATATATATATATATATATTATTGGTATATTTATTTTTCTAATTCAAAATATTAGTCCTTTCAGGGTAATTCAATTATACAGTAAAGCATACTCACATGCAGACACAGACAATCTTTTTTTTAATGAAATTTTTTATATTTTTTATTTTATTTGTGCATAGGTTAGGCAAACAAGATTGCACTGTCTCAGCGGCTGGTATATGCATAACATCAAATGGATTATAACAATTATGTGACATGAGGAACAGTGCACATTTTATATTAATGAGGAAGATCAGTAGCATATCGGCCCATTTCTAATAATAAAAGGTGGTCCAGGCAAAGTTAGACTAGAGTAATGGCTTGGGTTAGGCGGGTATATACGATATGTGCCTTAGAGTTAGCGTCTGGTAGAAGACGGTATGGTAAGGTGACCAGGGCTTAGACATATTAACAATGTAGTTATGGTGTGCTCTGTGCGCCTTACGTGATGTGTGATTGAGTAGCAAGGTAGGTAATAAAATCAGTGTGTTGCTTGGTTAGCAAAGGATATGGTAGCGTGCATACTGGGTTGGCTGAAACTAGCTATGCCCACCAAACAAAGTAATTTACGCGACTGGTATGAGGACTAGACTATATAATATAATATAATTTAAGCTGGTAACGTAAATGCATTAAATAGTAGAGCTTAACATGCAATGCGTGTAACTATTATAGATCAGGCTTATCGGGTGCTGGTCATGTGGGTGATCACATTTAGCAGAGCTGAGTTGCCAGACCTAATGGTAGGAGAAGAGCAGTAAACTCTCATGGCTGATAAGATACTGGGCATTGGAGTCAGTAAGTTACATGCAAACTGGCATTACACTTAGTGCAAAACTGCAGAAATGAGGCAAACACATGGAAAAATATTGATAAGTGCAAAATAAAAGAAATCACTGAAAACCTTGCCCATCTGCAAAAAAAAAAGAGTCCTCGGCAGTCCAGAATTAGGCTTGACAGCCGTGCAGGTAGAAGCGACAGGCGTCCCGGTAAAGTGTAAAGCAATTGTGGGACACATGCAGCCAGTCCACCCCAGACCTCTAGGCTTGCCGCCCGGCAGCAAGGATCCGTTCAGCAGTATGTTGTAGCCAGCCTCTCCGTAAAATGCAGGATGTCATTGTGACAGCGAGGTCAGAGCTCCGCTCCGGTGAAGTGGGCCTGATAGCCGAAGGCAGTCTGCCCAAGGAGGTGTATCGCAGGCGGGTTGATACAGACAATCTTACTGATGCACACAAATAGGCTCATTGACAGACAATCTAAATAACACACACAGACAAGGTTACTGGTACACACACAAATTTAGTACAGACAAACTCTGATACACACACAAGCTTACTACAGACAAGTTCCCTGTCACACACACACACTCACTACAGATAAGCTCACTGATGCGCACACACTCTCCATACAGACAAGCCCATCGACACACACATGTTCCCTACAAAAGAGCTCACTAACACACAGATTCACTACAGACAAGCTCACTGACACACATATGGTCACTACAGACAAGCTCACGATCACACACATGCTTACTGCAGACAAACTCACTGCTCACCATAGACAGACTCATACCCACCCAGCTCCCTACAGACAAGCTCACGAACGCACATACACATGATCCCTACAGACAAGCTCACTGACACACATACAAGCTCACTCACTAACAGGCACACACACATACACAAACTCACTAGCAGGCGCACACACACAGAAGCTCCCTCACTAGCAGATGCGCACAAACACACACACACACACACACACACAGAAGCTCACTCACTCACTAGCAGATGCACACACAAAAAGACATCCACACACACAGAGGTAGACAGTCACACACACACACACAGGCAGACAGTCACACACACACATACACAGGCAGAGAGACACACACACACAGGCAGACAGGGCAGACCACACACACACACACACACACACAGGCAGACAGTCACACACACACACACACACACACAGGCAGACAGTCTCTCACACACACACACACACACACACAGGCAGGCAGACAGTCACACACACACACAGACAGACACACACACACAGGCAGACAGTTACACACACACAGGCAGACAGTCACACACACATAGGCAGACAGTCACACACACATAGGCAGACAGTCACGCACACACACACACACACAGGCAGACAGTCACACACACACACACACACACACGCAGACAGTCATCTTTTCTTTTATCCTGGCTGGCCATGTGTGAGCTGTGCCAGCCGCCTAGCTCCCCCTGCTCCCATGGCGCCCTGTGCGGCTGCACAGCTCACATATGGCCGGCCGGCCGGGATTACGGGAGCCTGATCACTGATGAATATGGCTGTCAGCCCAGCCCCAGGTGCATTGGCCCACCGGGAAATTTCCTGGTATCCCGGTGGGCCAGTCCGGCCCTGGGAGCAGCGAAGAAAGAGGAAGAGTTATGGAGTGCTACACCTTCTATACTGAGTGCTTGATGCTGATTGGTAGCACTGTTGTTAAGCAATGTTATGTTATTTTTCTATTTTGTATACATCTCTCTTTCGCTGCTGAGAGAAATTAAAGGAAAGAGAAAGCATAATAGGAGCCTCTGTGTCTTTAATAAAATTACCTCTTGATGAGCACAACAATCCTGTAGATACAAAAATTACCAAAGATATTAAATAGCTTACTCTTCCTAATGACATGCACAAGGCCAGACTCAAGCTGAGTAATACTTTTCAGAGGTCTTGTAAAGTAAATGCCTCGACGCATCAGAGCTGTTTTGGCAGCACAAGGGTACCTACACTATAATATATGGTTTTACTGTTGTGGCTGATCAGTGTACATTACAGATCTCAGACAGAGATCTCTGACAGCAAAAGAGGAATAAAAAAAAAAATCCTTCTTCAACATCACAGAGTCAGAGAGAAGGCTCTACCTCGACCCATCACAGCTATTTTGGCAGCACAATATTAGGAAAATGGTTTTAATGTTGTGGCTGGTCAGTGTATGAAGGCAAGTGGGTGTATTAAGCTATTATGCCAAAGTGCTCAAAATAGCATTAATGTCAATAGTGTGAATAAAGTAATGCCAAGCCTCTTTCCCTGACCGTAGGGCTGAGAAGAACAATACACGCGTTTGGTGTTGTTCCTCCACCATTGCCACACCGTCCAGTAATCATACCTTTAGAGTGCATCCCACACAATTCCTACTTTGATTTACGATATCTTTTGATTGCATAAAATTTTGAATTAAAGTTCAGTCAATATCAATAAACATATTTAATAAAGATTTTAGCTTTATGGTGTGGCAAAGGTACTTTGCCTTTTCATGCACTTTGGCTAAGGTGGTGGGACGGGGAGCGGACACCATGTATGTAGTCTAACAGTTCTATAAACTGGGTGGATGCTAGGGCACTCTTGGCACCATAATTACTACAGTGCATTGTAGTAGTTATGGTCAGGGCCACACTGGCCCACCAGGCTGACGGCACTGATCATCAGGCTAATGTCTTATTAGGTATTTTCCCCTCGGACTGTGCCAGGCTGTGTCAGTCTGAGGAGAGTAAAGAGGGAGGAGCTAGG